CGCCAGGTCAGCAACAGGAGGTCAGATCTACAGAGGGGCATCCAGGGAGAGAGGTCAGGCAAGCAAGGGTCTGGGCAGGAGAAATCAGCAAGGTCAAGAGCAATCCGGGTCAATAACTTACAGGATACAGGTTCACAGGATCAGGAATGCAGGTAAGACCAGAAGGCAACGAAATGGCAGCTCAGGGACCTTTAAATATCCCGCCCTGCGCTGCCATTGGTGCCCAGCGGGCGGCCGCGGCTTCTACTGCGCATGCGCGCGAACTCGAACGCCGCGGCCGGCCCGGACCTAGTGCCCGTGTACTGGGAGGAGCAGTGCGCCTGCGCCGGGACCATCGAGGGACGGATCGCGGGGATCCCTGACAGTACCTTTCTTGTGCCTTGTTCATCAATGCCCTGGGACAAGGCAGGGATCGCTTTCAGGGTTAACTTAACCTTCAGGCAGACCTCTAACTCAAAGGTGGCCATAAACCATGCACACTTGAACAGGTGACTGAACTCTAAATAACTCTCTTGAGCACCATGTCCATGTACACCCCTACTGTCACATGTTTCATTTAGGAAGGACACACAGAGCTGATACCCTCTCCACATGTCCAGTGCATCTCTGCTACCTCACTCCCAGTAATGGAATGGGGTCCCGCCGGGTGCCTAGCACAGACTCCACTTCACAGATGTGCCTGCACCTAACTCCTTCTCCTCTGTACCTGTGCACGTGCTGGGGACCTCTGAGGGCTGATCTGCTCCCGTTGCTATGAGATAATGCTGACAACAACTCTCTCTCTACAAGAGGCTATCCCACTTGTCACAGGTACATGCTTCCCAACAGGCTGCTTGTGAAACCTTTGTTACCCTTGTTGCCCCTGGCTCTTACAGTCTTCTCCAAGCAAACTAGTAACAGCTCTGTGTGCACCCATTGTTTAAATCTGACAGACTGAAGATCTGGAAGGGTTAGTGGGCTTTCATGATCCAGAAAGTCCTTTTGCTGTTTAGGGGTTAGAGCTGGACAATTCACCAGGGGTAGCATGTGGAATTGACTGTGAGCATGAAGTAGAGTGTATAGATGGTGAAGCAGTTTGTAGGCAACTTCAAGGCCAGTTTTTCCTCTCCTGGACAATTTACTCTGTGTAGACGTTCTTGTAACAGGCCATATATACTATCCTGTAGGCTTGAGATGACAGCTTGAAATACTATACCTTCTACAGCTCTATGCATACAAAGGAAAGAGGGGAAGCTCAAGTCCATAATGTGGATTATATTGACATAGCCCCAAATGAACCACTATGGCTCAAAATTGATATGATCCAGAACTACAGTATATAGACAGATTAAAGGTGAATAAAGCACCTGGGCCAGATGGCTTACACCCACGGGTCCTAAAATAATTTAGCTCTGTCATTTCAAAGTCATGGTTTCTAATTTTTAGAGACTCTTTAATGACTGGCATAATGCCACTTTATTGGCGTAAGGCCAATGTGGTGCCTATATTAAAAAAGGGGTCAAAGTATTTACCAAGTAACTACAAAGCTTCTATAATTGGGAAGATACTGGAGGGTTTAATAAAAGACCACATAAATGAGTTCTTGCTAGAAAAAAAATATTTTAAGCAATTGGGCAGCTGGGATTCAAGAAAGAAAGAAGTTGTGAAACAAATCTGATTTCTTTTTATGAGGAGGTAAGCAAAAACTTAGACAAAGGAGAGGCTGTGGATGTAGTATGCTTAGATTTTGCAAAAGGGTTTGACACAGTTTCCCACACACGGCTAATGTGTAAGGTAAAGTCTACAGGCTTGAAAAAATGTTTGTAAATGGATAGAAAACTGGCCAAAAGATCGTTTTCAAAGAGTAGTGGTTAATGATTCATACTCTGAATGGTCTAGGGTTGTTAGTGGTGTACCCCAACGTTCAGTGTTGGGACTTTTACTTTTTAATATATTTATAAACAATATAGGGTCTGGGATTAAAAGTACCATTTCAATCTTTGCAGATGACACCAAGCTGTGCAGTGGAATAACGTGAGTACGGGATATCTCCAATATACAAGACGACCTCAATGCACTGTTTATTTGGACAACTATGTGGCAAATAATAAATGTAAAGTTATGCATTTGGGGGCTAAAATTATGCATGCATCAAACATACTAGGGGGAGTACAACTGGGGAATCAATGGTGGAGAAGGATTTGGGTGTTCTGGTAGATCATAGGCCTGCAATGTCAAGCTGCGGTTTCCAAAGAGAGCAAAATCCTCTCTTGTATTAAGAGAGCCCCCAAATGCATAACTTTACATTTATTATTTTGCCCCTGTACAAATCATTAGTAAACTTCATCTAGAATATGCAGTTCAGTTTTGGGCACCAATTCACAAAATATTGGGGTACTGAAGAGAGTGCAGAGAAGGGCAAGCAAACTAATAAAAGGCATGGAGGAGCTCAGGTATGATTAAAAATTAGAGGAACTGAATGTATTATCTTAAGATTAAGGAGAGATATGATTAACATTTATAAATGCATAAGTGATCCATATAGTGAACTTGGTTTAGAGTTATTCATTTTAAAGTGATATTAAAGGCAATTTAAAAAAAAAATGTAATACTTGCTCTGTGAAGTGGTTTTGCACAGAGCAGCCTCAATCTTCCTTTTCTCGGGTACCCCACTAGGGCTCATAGCTCCTCCCTCCTGCCTAGTGCCCCCAGAGCAAGCAACTTTATCTGGGGACACCCAAGCAGGCTTGCTCTCACCTGCTTGGGTTTTCCATTGTCACATTGGCCCACTGGCTGTGATTGACAGCAGCAGGAGCAAATGGCTGTCTCAGCTAATGAGGAGGGATAGTCCCCAGATTGCTGAGGCTCACGTGCGCATTGTTGAATCGTGATGGAGCTCAGGTAAATATTAGGGGGCCTGGGGGTACTGCTGCAGACAGGTTTTTTAACTTCATGCATAGAATGTGTAAAGGTAAAAAAAACCCTTGAGCCTTCACAACCACTTTAAAGTCATCACAGAGGACAAGGGGGCATTCTTTACATCTAGATGAAATGCGATTTAACCTCCAAATACAGAAATGCTTCTTCGCGGTAAGAGCTGTGAAAATGTGTAATAGACAACCACAAGACTTGGTTCTGGCCAGCTCAGTAGATTGTTTTAAAAGAGCCTGGATTCTTTCCTAGATACACAAAATATAATTGGATGCTAATATTTATAGGTAACGTTGATCCATGGTATATTTAAGTCCTCTTGGGGGATCAGGAAGGAATTTTTTTTCCCTACAGGAGCAAATTGAATCATATCTTCCCCAGGATCAACTGTGGGTATATGATTGTGTGATTATATAATTGTATATAATTTTTTTCCCTTCTCTTGGTTGAACTGGATGGACATGAGTCTTTTTTCAACCAGACCAACTATGTAACTATGATTGAAGAATCAGACTTTTGTATCAGACCACAGATGTTGAAATCTATAAAGGAAAACACTTTACCCTCATTGGCTGCTTAATTTGCATTCAAATTTCAGATTTTATTTTTTTAAACTGCCCAGGATCAAAGCAGTTAGGCGACACGTCCCATCGGAACACTTGGCTAGTCCTGGGTCCCCAGCAGAAGCCACAAATTATACACATCTACCTTATGTGCCCCAAATGTCTTTGGAACCCAGATATCACCTTGTAAAAGTAGTGGTGACATCATCACCGTGCCGCTGTACAGAGGGCAGAGCTGTGAGTGGGGCCCTGCAGCTCCACCCACTACAGACTTCCTGTAGAAAACTACAGGAGGAGGCAGATACAAGACCAGTCACCTTGTACACGAAGAAAGACCACCAATGACTGGTCCTTATTACAAAAAGCTCCTGAACAAAGACAAATGGGTTGATTTACTAAAGGCAAATAGATTGTGCACTTTGCAAGTGCAGTTGAACTCAATTTCCCCAGAGCTTAGCGAATGTGGTAATTATTTCTATCATCCAATCTTGTGCAAGCAAAAATTGCACCTCTACAAAGTGAAACTTTACCACATATCAGTCAGTGTTTGTCAATACTGTGTAATCATTTCTGCCAGACCCTGTCATGTTTAAAAAAAATCCCAGCTCTGTTTCTGACTTCGGCTTGCTCATGATTTGGTACCTTGCCTCCCGTTGATGACCTTGGCTATTCCTGTGACCTTGCTCCTGTCTCCGATCCCAGCTTCCTGTCCTCCTCGAGTGCCCACCTGGCTGTCAACTATACCAGCTCTGCTCACCATAAACTGTTCCTGCTTCAAGTCGGCTGGGAGATCTGACATGTCACTTATCCTGAACCTGTTGTGCAAGCGGATTGCCCTTTTAACCCAGGTGGGATTCCAAAACATTGCTACTGTTCCAGAACCGATGATTTTGAACTCCAACTGCAAGCTCTTCAGGCAACACCTGCTGGCACTCTTGTTCCCCTGGTCCCTCGGCACCCTCTGTTCCACTTCCAGAGGGGTCAGGACTAGTGACACAAGTGAGGCCGACCTCATCATTTCATTCTCCTATCAGGTACTTGACAACCTCCCTACATAACCTATTATGTGGCTAATGATGGAGGTGTGAAGAGAAATACTATAGTGTCACTTGAATGCCACTTCTAAGTCTGCTTGGACTGCTGACATTGGATTCAAGCAGCAATCTCAGGGCTTTTATATATCTACACAAAGGACACTTCATCGGGTAACTAACATGCTTGAAATACATTAAATCCAAGTGAGCCATCAGTTTAAATCAACTAAATACATTCTAGATGCGTTAAAACAAAAGGTGTTTAATGTCCTACAGTTGGTTGTTGTTTTAAACCAGCCACACCTTGAGTGTGCCCTCCCAATTGCTGAAGTGTAGGACTCTTTCTCTCTGTGTTGAAGCCCTACTAAGTCAGATCTAGAGATCTGCAAAAAGCAAGCTCTGGCTCTGACTCAGGGGGCATGTCAGACCCAGGGGTGGACTGACCATTTGGAAACTCGGGCACTGCCCGAGGGCCCAGGGTCAGTAGGGGGCCCCATGAGATGCCCCTGCTACCTTTTTCATAGGCTTTTTTGAGCTTGGGCAAGGACACAGGGGCCCCATGTTCCCCTATTGCCCGGGGGCCCCATGAGTTGTCAGTCCGCCCCTGGTCAGACCTCTACAAAGATATCACTTCTTCGTTGCAGAAAGCAAAAGTCACACTTTGCAGCATACTGGCAGGGTACAGGCTTTTCATACATAGTTAGTCTGGCTGAAAAAAGACAAAAATCCAACCAGTTCTTCTATGTTTGTGTCTGATTTTGAAAGAAATTACACTTTAAGACTTTGCACAACTTTTCGTTTGATGTTCCTGGAGTGTAAATAGCTTGTTTAAACTGAATGTTCAATTTGTCTGTAAATGCACATCGCATGGGAGGATTGCAAGGTCTATTTAAGTGTGAATTTTATATGTAATAAAGCTGTCCAAACACTATGTGAATTCTGGTTCCTGATGAGCAGGCCAAAATACGCATAGTGGGTGGCCTTGATGGCTCCCTTCCACCTGACATCCTTTGATTGAAAAATCAAAGGAGATGGGCAGAAATGTATTAGCCGAACAATGGCTGCATCTAATATGATACAGTCTCTGTATGGGTATTCTGACAGTCCTTGCTGACAACTGTCAGAATACAATAGCCCAGTAGGGGGATTCACCCATTTGTGCTGTATGGCCAGCCTTTGGGATTTTAAGTAATATAAGTTATAGTATCATTACCTTTTAAGTAGCACCACTATGTATCCTGACTTCAGAGATGTCCTTAGTAGATGACTTTCTTATGCAAAAGAGCACTAAACAAGGAAAAAAGCTAGTGAGCCTAAGTCAGTATTAATGTGCCTCAAATTCTCATAAATGTTCAGTGATATTCTTTTTTCTATGACTCACTGCTCTATTTAAAAATCACACTCCTAATGGTGCTGGTAAAATGACTTTTTGCAAACACCAGTGGTCTGAATATTTTAACAGCTATCTTTTTCCTATTCTCCTTGACTTATTAAGAACTATAACAGAGGCAATAAGCCTGAATTTCCCACAACTAGAAATGGAATGAAAGTGGAATTAGATGCATATAAAGCACAGTAGGCATGTTGCCTCTAGTTGATTGGGCATTTGTTCAGTTGAAAGAAACAAAGAAAATGTATAAAATTCATCTGTTTTTTAAGATAAGCTGTAGCCATTTACTGGGGATAAAAGAAATTATGAAAGACACTATAGGAAACACACCATGCATTATCATACAGTATATAATGCTAGAAAGGGAATGGGGGCTTAGCAGAAAGTCAGGAGTATAATTACAGGTTCAGCAGCTCATGTGACTGCTGTGGGGCCAGTATTAAAGAGTGCAATAGTCTGCATTTGCGTGTAAAGGTCTTGGTCTATGCTTTCTTTTGAAATAGACCTGTGTAACACCCTGCTATACATGTCTAATGCAGGATGTTGGATCCAACACAAGATGGCAGTGTACTGCAGAACAGTAGCTGCCACGTGTTGAAGAATAGCCATGTGGACTTGTATGCCAAATTGCAGGACTTTACTGAAGAACAGTGCCCTGGAAACTACATTTCCCAGAGGAGCTTGCTTATGAACGGGGGCATATAAATATAAAAGCCCGAGAGACTGAGCAGGAAGTGTAAGGGGAGAGACCAAGAGAGAAAGAAGTGTGCTGACAGCTGGAGTGCTGACCCAGGCCGCGGATCCAAAGTTGGAGAGAGGGAGGAAGACGGAAAAGAGCCTGCTGATTGTCAGTCTTGCCACGCTGCTTAGCGAGCCAATCTGTTAGCAGGAGACCAGACGGGATGCCAGAACAGAACCAGAGAGTCTGTGGGGGCCCCCATCTGTAGAGAAAGATGGAATGCTATGACCTCCTAGATTGTAAGCTCTAACGAGCAGGGCCCTCTGTTTCCTCTTGTACCAAATTGTATTGCAACTGTATTGTCTACCTTCATTTTGTAAAGCACTGAACAAACTGTTGGCTTTATATAAATCCTGCATAATAATAATGTATAATAATTAGAGATGAGCGAAGTATTCAAAAATTCGATTCGGCTGATTCGGCGAATTCGAGGAATAAATTTGATGCAAATATATTTGCTGCGAATTTAACTTATAAAAGGGTGTTTCTAGGCTTCAGAGAGCCTTTATATTAGTGCAGAACACTGTACCTTTAATTTAAATGCCCTTGGAGTCTGCTGGGGAAGAGAAATAATACTGTCAGTCAGTATGACATGCAGATGAGTGCCGTCGATCTTAGAATCACCGCACACTTCACTCATTTGGGCAGTCACGGGGCCAAAACCAGAGTGTGGAGCCACAGTGTGGCGGTGGAGGCAGCAGCAATGGGAGGCCATACAGCACCCTATGACAAAAATGGAACCCACCAACAGTGTGAGGAGACCTGAAAGTGGCACATGGCAGAGTGTGGCGATGGAGACAGCAGCAATGGGAGGCCGTACAGGGACCCATGACACACTCTGGACCTGGCAGCAGCATGAGGAGGCGGTACAGGGCCCATGGCAGATTACGGGCCTGGCAGCAGCAATGGGAGGCCCGTAATCTGCCAGCACCCTATGACAAAATGGAACCCACCAGCAGTGTGAGGAGACCTGAATGTGGCACATGTTTGGGGCATGATTCATGGCGGATTTAGTCAGTTGTGTCAGGAACTGGTGGTTTGAAATCCAGACTAATCCACGCCTGATTCATTTTCACAAACGTGAGTCTCTCCACACTTTGGGTGGACAGTCGTGTCCTCCGCGGAGTTACAATACCTCCTGCCGCACTAAACACGCGCTCCGATGCCACGCTACTGGCCGGGCATGACAGCCTTTCAAGGGCAAATTCAGCTAGTTGGGGCCAAAGGTCAAGTTTCGTTGCCCAGTAGTCAAGGGGATTGTCTACCTCGGTTGGCAGGGTGCTGTCCAAGTAGGCCCAAGCCTGTTGTTTGAGGTCCTGCTCCAGGTCCACCTGATGCTGCTGCTGCTGCGGCTGGTTAGTAGTTTCCTCACTGCGCTGGTGAAGAAAGCTACTCATCATCGACTGCAGACTGAGGCAGCCGCTGCTGGTGGAGCTGCCACTGCTCCTACCACCCCACCCCTCCCCTGCTGCCATGGCAGCGGAACACGAGCGCACAGGGCCCACAGTGTCTGAGGATGGACGTTGGCGCAGAAAGGCAGAGACCAACTGACTACATAGGTGGTTTTTATAGTACGTTATTTTGGCCTCCCTCTCAGCAGGTGTGAAAAAGGCCACCATTTTTGAACGGTAGCGAGGGTCCAACAAGGTGGACAGCCAAAAGTCATCCCTCTGTCTGATGGTTATTATTCGGCTGTCGCTACGCAAGCAACTGAGCATGCTATGGGCCATTTGTGCCAAGGAATGCGAGGGACTCCCTGCCTCCATCTCCACAGCATACTGCCACAGTGCGTCTGGGTCCTCTGTCTCCTTCTCCTCCTCCTCTACCAGATGCTCCTGCTCCTCCACTCCTGTCCGCTGAGTGGAAAAACCACCCATTTCACTCAATAATTCCTGAGCACCAATGTCCTCCTCTACCTCCTCCTCTTCTTCCTGTCCTGCCCCCACAGGGGTCATGTGGCGTTGAGATCTGTGCGCCACGTCTACCGCACCTGACCAGCCATTGTTAACAGCATTTGTTCCAGGACGTGCAACAGAGGAATGACGTCGTTCATCCCATAGTCCTGCCGACTCACGAATAGCGTGGCCTCCTCAAAGGGCCTGAGCAAGCGGCAGGTGTCACGCATGAGCTGCCAATGGCTGACATCGAAGTTACACAGGAGAGTACCTTTATCCGCTTGTAACATCAGGAAATCGGTGATGGCCTTTCGCTGTTCGTAAAGGCGGTCTAACATGTGTAGGGTTGAATTCCACCTTGTTGCAACGTCGCAGATCAGGCGATGCTGTGGAATTCCGTTCTGCCGCTGCAGCTCAAGGAGGGTGTGCTTTGCGTTGTAGGAATGGCTGAAATGCATGCAAAGTTTACGTGACATTTTAAGGATGTCTTGCAGTGGGATGGTGGATTTTAGGAACTGCTTGACAACCAGATTGAACACGTGAGCCATGCATGGCGCATGGCACAACCTTACTTGACGCAGAGCAGACACCATGTTCTTTCCGTTGTCGGTCAACATGGTTCCGATTTTCAGTTTGCGCGGAGACAGCCATCTGTCGATTTCTCTGTTCATTACACTCAGAAGTTCCTCCCCTGTGTGACTACGTTCGCCAAGGCATACCAGGTGCAGCACAGCGTGACACCGTTGCGCCCTGCACATGTGATATGCCGGTCGGGTAATGGGACTTGGCACGGGGGTGGCGGCTGAGGACACGGCGGAGAAGAGAGGGGTAGAGGCGGACATCTTTTGTGGACCAAGGATGTGCAAACGTGGAGGCAAAAGCGGCGTGACCTGTCCAAGTTGCTGGTGCGGCTGTGCCGGCACCACGTTCACCCAGTGGGCCGTAAATGACATGTACTGTCCCTGACCGTAGTTACAGCTCCACACGTCGGCGCTGCCGTGCACTTTGGCAGAGACCGACATGCTCAAAGACTGGCCCACCATCTCTTCTACATGTGAATGCAGGGCTGGCACTGCCTTTTTGGCGAAGAAATGACGGCTTGGCACTCTCCACCGCGGCGCGGCACAAGCCATCATTTCTCGGAAAGGTGCTGAGTCCACCACTTGGAAAGGGAGGGACTGCAGCACCAGCAACTTGGACAGGAGGACGTTCAGCTTTTGCACCGTCGGGTGCGTGCTCGCAAACTGTTGTCTCTTGGAAACGGATTCCAAGAAAGACTGCTGACGGAATCCGTGAAGAGGAGTAGCAGGAGAAGGAGCATCTGAACGAGCGGAAGATGCCAATGAGCGACAACTCCCCTCAGCAGAGGTGTTGGAGCCTTGACTGGCTGATAGAGGGCGATTGACGTCGGGTGACGGAGCAAGTAACGGAGCGGGTGATGGAGCGGGGGCTGGGGCAGGCAGAACCGCTGTATTTTTATCACGGTTTTCCCAGGCCACCAAATGGCGACGCTGCATATGCTGCCGCAACGCTGTAGTCCCAACATGGGCCCCCTGGCCACGCTTGACTTTCTGGCCACATAGTCGACATACGGCTACGTTTACTTCCTCGGGCGGCTTGACAAAAAATTGCCACACCGCCGAGTAGGAAACTTTGCCCCCGCTACTCCTCACTGGCTGACTGCTACTTCCTCCGTGCACACCGGCACCACTACTGGCCGTGGTGGTAGGCTGCAGTGGAGCTGGTGCTCTACTCCGTGGCCGTTTGCCTCCACTGACACTGCTGCAACCCTGCTGCCTCCTGGGGAACCCACCGACTGTTTTGCTCGCTGCCAAGCTGGCACCCTCTTCTCCTGATGATGCGGAAGCAATAGCCTGATGACGACGAGGCTGCCAAGTGCGATCAGCCTCATCATCATCATCAATTAGGGTCTCCGCCTCACTACTAGCCCCCTCGGCTGCGTGTGGGTCAGGAGACAGACCTGTCTCTAGACCGGCTACCGAGCCACTCTCCTCGCCAGTACTTCTTCGCCTGGCTGCTGAAGAGGCGGATGTCTCCCCCCGTTCCTGACCGCCCTCTGTTAGCTCTTCCTCACTGTACAGTGGGGCTGAGCCCACAGCATGCGATACTTCGCTTGGTGAGGGAACACCAAAGGACAGGGGCAGGTAGAGGACACGTGATTTCAGTGGGCTTGCTCCCGGGCCATGCCAACTAACGGTTGTGTCTGACGTACCCACCGACCGTTGGCTGTAGGTGTCAGAGGTGACCTGGGAAGAGGAAGACGACCGAGCCAACCAATCGATGACGGCAGGGTTGTCGGTGGAGACACGACCGCTGGATGACACCGGGAGCACTGGCCTCTGGCTGCGACTAGTGCTGCCTCGACCCCTTCCTCTGCTGCCACGTCTGCTCGCTCCTAAAACATTGCCTCCTCTGCCACTCCTTGCATGTTGTCTGACATACTCTTTAATTCAACGATTCTGTGTCCCTGAGTAACAATTCTGTGTCCCTGAGTAACAATTCTGTGTCTGTCCCTGAGTAACAATTCTGTGTCCCTGAGTAACAATTCTGTGTCCCTGAGTAACAATTCTGTGTCCCTCAGTAACAATTCTGTGTCTGTCCCTGAGTAACAATTCTGTGTCCCTGAGTAACAATTCTGTGTCCCTCAGTAACAATTCTGTGTCCCTGAGTAACAATTCTGTGTCCCTGAGTAACAATTCTGTGTCCCTCAGTAACAATTCTGTGTCCCTCAGTAACAATTCTGTGTCTGTCCCTGAGTAACAATTCTGTGTCCCTGAGTAACAATTTTGTGTCCCTCAGTAACAATTCTGTGTCCCTCAGTAACAATTCTGTGTCCCTCAGTAACAATTCTGTGTCTGTCCCTGAGTAACAATTCTGTGTCCCTGAGTAACAATTCTGTGTCCCTCAGTAACAATTCTGTGTCCCTCAGTAACAATTCTGTGTCCCTCAGTAACAATTCTGTGTCTGTCCCTGAGTAACAATTCTGTGTCCCTAAGTAATGGTTCTGTGGCCCTAAGTAACGGTTCTGTGGCCCTAAGTAACGGTTCTGTGGCCCTAAGTAATGCTTCTGTGGCCCTAAGTAACGCTTCTGTGGCCCTAATTAACGGTTCTGTGGCCCTAAGTAACGGTTCTGTGGCCCTAAGTAACGATTCTGTGTCCCTAAGTAACGGTTCTGTGTCCCTAAGTAACGATTCTGTGGCCCTAACTCTCTCCCTCAATACAGACAGGTCTGCCTCTCTTGAATGACTGGAGGCAAATGGAGAATTCTAAAATGGCCGCAATTTATAGCTCGACCATTACACAGTGCTGGCTGGCTGGCTGCTGATTGGCTAATGCAATCACATGTCATGAATGAATGCATTATGGGTCAGCGCGCCTTGTCTGCGCGCCTTCCCAGAGATCCCCGCTCCGTCGCCGCACATGTCGCCGCCATTTTAGGAAAAATTTCGATTCGCGCATCCGAAGTCTGCTAATTTTCGGATTCGTCGCTAATCGAAATTTTCCTAATATTCGAAACGAACTCCACTTCGCCAAGTTCGATTCGCTCATCTCTAATAATAATAATCTGCCAAATATCACTGACTAAGTGAACACTAACAGTTTCATCACATCAGCTATCTACCTGCAAATAGTTGCGGACATTACACATAGTTGCCCCAGTTTGCGGCCTAGTTCTCCCAGCCGCCATTGTTGGGATACATCTACATCTGCATCTGTCTCATCATCCAAGCTGATTGCAGGACACACAGCTGCAGACCAGATTACAGCAGTGCCAATTGAAACAACAATTTACCCTTCCCAGCAGAATGGGATTTTTACTACTGTTGCTTCTGGCCCTTGGCACCCAGAGAGAGTTGTTCTTGCTCCATAGACACTTATGCCAGTTGTTACACCTCACTATTTCAAATCTGCCTTTATTTAGTGCCCTAAAGGGGACCTTGCACTAATACACTACCATCAAAAGGAGAAGTACTAAATCTTTCCCTATTCCCTCATTATTGTTTGTATTATCATCCGGAGATATCTACACGGAAATATCTACACCCTAAATAAACTTCATACTAGCACACAAAAGACTCCATAGTATTCTTAAAGAGACATTGGTCATTTATAAACGAGAGCTCTCCACACTTCAAATCCAATCCTTGCCATCAAGTTCTGAGGACCCCCAGTGAGTTTACCTATTTCTTGATAGCTGTTCTCGTTCACGGTGGATTCAACAGTCCCCTCAGATTGAAGGCATTGGATTATTTCTGAAAGCAGGACTGCTAACAGTTATGGGTATTTCCCTGTGAATGCTGTTACTTTTATTTAAAATTAACAAGAGTGATTATATTTGCTGCAAATAACCATGTTATTCTGTTTCTCTTTTTGACCAAGTTACATTCAATGCCAATAAAAACGTCATATTGGTTTATACTAACTTGTGTGTGAGTCCATTTTACTTTTGTGGTTTATTGTGGCCATAATTATAAAGTGGTGTCAGCAGAGGTTGGGCTTTCCAAAGGAGGTCCAGATTGACAGGGAACCCAGAAATTACTAAGCAACCTTTAGGGGGTAGTGCTACACTTGTTTGCAAGACATGTAAAGAGAGAAGGTAAAGATGGTTCCTGCTTCATACCACTCCTGGCTTTCCTTTTTATACTTTTATGCTATGATCATGGTTTTAATGTACAGCTCTATAGAAAGTTGTGTATGCAGTTTTGGGAAAGTGAAGAAAAATCTGACGTTTGTACATATTTTAAAATTTTTTGGAAGAGGATGTATACTTACTCTTATAGTTTGGATGTCCAATATGCATGGGAGAACTTTGCTTTGATTATATACATGTGTAGCCATTTTTTGAGGGGGTCATGAGAAATGGCACTTCCCATTCAGGATATTGCACTAAATAGGTTCACCTACTGCAAGGTGACCACTACACACACACACACCGCGTTACAGGATCAGCTATCCAGTATAATTCATGCCACCAATGCGTATATATATATATATATACATACATACACACAGTGCTCAGCATAAATGAGTACACCCCAACAGATTTGTCAGAAAACCTTTACTTTCAGAATTAACATTTTCTATGGGGCACTATACTGCAAAATACTCCCACAAATGTGGGCCATTGATTGCAAACTTTGCACAAACAAAAAGTATTTTTCCTAACAAATTCATTCAAGACCATGTTGCAAAAATGAATACACCCCAATGAAAGTTTTAGGAAAGCAAAGCTAAATTTTAGACAACAAAATCCTAATTACAAGAACAGGGTGAAAGTGATTCAGTGGCCAAGTATGTATCCTGATCTGAACCTAATCAAACACCTATGGGGAATTCTGAAGAGACAAGTTGGGCATCAGTCTCCATCCAGCATCCAGGCTCTTAAAGAGGTAATTCTTAAAGAATGGCAAAAGAGTGATGTTGCAATATGTTGCCAGCTTGTTCATTCCATGCCTAGAAGACTTGGTGCTGTCCTTACAAATCATGGAGGTCGTACAAAAATACTAGATGTAGTAGTTTATGTTGTGGGGTGTACTCATTTTTGCATCAACTAATTTGAGTAAAACTGAAGATGTAATAGAATAAAGAAGTTATATTATTAGCCTTTCTTTCATGCATGCTTAACAAATGTTCTATAAAACTCAGTTTTGTCAAAATTTTGGAAATTGTTCTTGCGTTCATTGAGATATTGATTAAAATCTTACTTTTCAAAAGGGGTGTTCTCATTTATGCTGAGCACTGTATAGGTGTATAAAAATCAAGCACCTAGGCATGCAGACTGCTTATACAAACATTTATAAAAGAATGGGTCACTCTGAAGAGCTCAGTGAATTCAAAGGTGGTACCATGATAGGTTGCCACCTGTGCAATAAGTCCATCTGTGAAATTTCCTTGCTACTAAATATTCCACGGTCAACTGTTAGTGGTATTATAACAAAGTGGAAGCAACTGGGAAGAACAGTAACTCAGCCACAAAGTGGTAAGCCATGTAAAATGACAGAGCAGGGTCAGCGCATGCTGAAGCTCACAGTGTGCAGAAGTCGCTATTTATCTGCAGTTAAACTTTCAAACTTCATGTGGCCTTCAGATTAGTACAACAACCATGCATAGAGAGCTTCATGGAATAGGTTTCCATGGCCGAGCAAAGCGTTGGTTGCAGTGCTGTCAAGCACGCTGCCTCTGGACTCTAGAGCAATGGAGACATGTTCTCTGGTGTGATAAATCACACTTATCTGTCTGGCAATCAGACTGGCATGTCTTGGTTTGGCAGTTGCCAGGAGAACAGTACTTGCCTGACAGCATTGTGCCAAGTGTAAAGTTTGGTGAAGGGGGATTATGTGTGGGGTTGTTTTTCAGGGGTTGGACCTGGCCCCTTAGTTCCAGTGAATGGAACTCTTAAGGCATCAGCATATCAAGACATTTTGGACAATTGCATGCTCCCAAGTTTGTGGGAACAGTTTGGGGGTGACCCCTTCCTGTTCCAACATGACTGCACACCAGTGCACAAAGCAAGGTCCATAAAAACATGGATGAGCGGGTTTGGGGTGGAGGAACTTGACTGGCCTGCATAGAGTCCTGACTTCAATCCGATAGAACACCTTTGGGATGAATTAGAGCGGAGACTGCGAGCGAGGCCTTCTGAAAAATGGTCAAACATTCCCATAGACACAATCCTAAACTGTGTGGACAGCCTTCCCAAAAGAGTTGAAGCTGTTGTAGCTGCAAAGGGTGGACCAAGTCAATATTGAACCCTACGGACTAAGACTGGGATGCCATGAAAGTTTATGTGCGTGTAAAGGCAGGGGTCCCAATACATTTGGAAATATAGTGTGTGTATATATATATATATATATATATATATATATATATATATATATTACATACACACACACCAAGAAGCTTAAGACAGGTACACTTGTTGAAAATATGTGGTCTCACCTACTCTCTCTCTTCGTCTCTACTTCCTTCCCCTGGGATTTCTAACCCTTCCACACAGTCACAGGAGGTGGTGTATATAGACAACTCTGTGATATTAAGCAGCACAGCCACTTACAAACACAGATAGTAGAGGGCAGCAGATCCCTACACATAAATTTATCTATAAGAGGCACATTGTGCAATTTGGACTTCCTTACTCATAGAGATGCAATAAGCTAACTAGGCATGAATAAGTTCATTGGGACATAATTTAAATCACAGAGAGTAGGTTTACACAGAATGGATTTAAGGAACCAGACATTTTTTTTAAAGAAATATATTTACCAAGGAGATGCCAAGTACATTCAGGCATGAACAAGTCCACTAGGAGAGGTGGTTTAGTGCTATACCATTAAGATTAATATGATAAATGTTAACAGTAGAGCAGACTATGAGAAAGGTTTCTTTGAAATATATTGTGGCCAAGTTTTAATATATATCTTTATATGTGCAATATATTGTATAAAGTTAGTGCTGCAAGCAGTTTTTCCTTTCCCTTTTTTTGGTATATTATCGTAACCGATAAAAATAGTGGCTGCTTGAATTCCAATCTTTTACTTTTTCAGTTGATTTGTAAAATGTTTTTACTTAAGTAAAACATCCGTTGTCCATTGAAGGACACAGGAAAGTAGAAATATTTGGACATTTGGGTTACATGCTGCTGCATACAGTTGGTTTGGACACTGGAAAACAGAAAAGAATGTATAATGCCCCTGTATAACTCCACCCCTAACCATCATGCTTCAGTTTTCCCAGTGTGGAGAGCAAGCAGTAAACAGGACTAATAAACACAGAGGGTTGGAACCTCTAATGCAATGGAAAAAGATTTAATGGCAAGTATAAAAAATATATGTTCTTCGTCATACTTTGAGGTACACAGAGATGTCAAAATATTTAGACATTTGGTGCATCAAAAGCAATAGTCACTCACAGATCTAAGACAGAACCATCTGAGCCATCTGCAACAACCAGGACAAAGGACCAACATCTGAATCTAAACAAGAAGAGGTAAAGTTTCCTAGAAGCCAAATAAACTGCTAATTATTGAGAAGTAGCACAGAATTGAAGAAATGATGAAAGAAAAACAGACCCCTCAGTACCCTCAGTACCCCACTCAATACGCAACCAGACCCTAAATAGACACAAGGGGGTACCCTGACCATTAGTGGAACATTCCACTAAACCAGAAGGTGCAGAAGTGCTTCAGCAAATCTCTGTGCCACATCTCTGGACCTGTAGATCACTCTGTGGCTAACATAGTACACAAAGGTCTGGAGAGTACTGCAACCAGACCCCAGTGCCTAAAGGTCTAATCTAGAAATCTTCCAGTCAAGCAGGGTCCAGGCATGACCATGAATATGTCGAGCCAGATAGCTCTTATGTGGAGACTACCACAAACAGCATCTTAAAGCAGAACTATAGGCAAAACTTTTTCTTTCATTTTGGATAGCGTACGGGAGGGTTATATCCCTTGTCAGCTTATTTTTTGCCATCTGTGTCCCATTAGGGAGATTTATATTCACTTCCTGTCCCATAGCCAAAACAGGAAGTGAGCGGGAATCCTCATAAGTTAACATAATTCATTGGGGACCCCTAGGTCACCAAAACTAGTGTCCCCATTGGAAAATTTCTCCTCTATTACTTTTCTGGAGACAACCCAAAATTTGGGGTATTCTTTACTTTCACTTTCAAAAATAATGGTAAACAGGACAAATAGAGAGGGTAGATTTTCCTAACTGGGGGCACAGACTGCAATGAAGACCAAATAGGTGTTCTAATCCATCTCCATCCTGTCCAAAACTAAAAAAAACGTTTTGCCTTTTAGTTTACTTGGAATTATTAAATGCAAAAATATCTATGGTGTACTGAATAACTTTATTGAAGAAAAAAAACAAAACACAAAGCTGAGGAAAAAGCATCCAATAGCCTAGGACACTAGCAAAAAACTGAAACATGACAGTTAGGGACAGGGTTGAAAAGGGGCTCGCTTTCAACATTTTTTTCTGTTTCTCAGTGTCCAAGCCTTCTGTAGGTAGCAGCATCTAACCAAAATGTCTAAGAATTTCTATATTTCTGTCCCTCAATAAAGAAAATTAACTTGTAATCAAGTTTTCAAAGTCTTCAGGACCCTGGTTTTAGCTAGATTTTCTATACATTCATTATATAATAAGAGTAGCCTGGTGATGCCAGCTTTTTTGTCAACCAATTATTTGTAAGACCATTTGTAATATTAGCAAACATTTTCCAGTTTGATGAACATTTTGATATCCCCTAGGTAAAAATACACTTTTTTGGGACATATCAAAAAGCCTGGGAATGTCACCTGTCAATCACACAGAAAGCAACGACCTCTACAAAATGAGGATTCCAATTTCCTTGGTCTCGGTAGGAGTTAATGATAGGTGGTTGTCTTCATCTTTTGGATATCAGTGTGTGCAGTCCAAATGGCAGCACTTTAAGTTGGCCTGTACTCAAAAAGTAAAGATTTACTATTTTATAGGAAGCATTTAGAAATGTTATTTGTGCCTTAGCAGTGCCCTAAAAAGATCCACCTTTTGTCTTGAATTCCTCCTTAAAATTAGCAGTGCACTTTCTGTTATGTGAGGGTGGCTAGGCACTCCCATGCTTACAGTCTTTTTGTTGTTTTTCTGCTGTGTAAGAGGCACTGTTGTCTGTGACAGCTAGTTTGACAATAATTGAATGATATTTGGATGATGTTACTACTGATGTCTTGAGTGCTTGCTGAAGGGAAAGCTGCACCTGAGAACTTGCAGTGCATGAATATCACTATTTCTGCTTCATTCATTCTGCAAATTTGTGTTCCCCAACCTCTCCTGCTGGTTTTTAAATATTTTCCCACCAGTTCACCAGTTATTAGTGAAATAGCTCTGACATGAAAAAGCAAAGCTGTACCCGAGAACCTGCAGTCCATGAATATCACTATTTCTGCTTCATCCATTCTGCAAATCTGTGTTCCCCTACCTCTCCTGCTGCCTTTTTCTTGTTCAATCTTTTTACTGAGAAACAACAGAACATAGGCATAGCAGAGTATGGCGCAATGTCAATGAACTGTGGGATTCGCACTTACAAAAAGTACAGTACAGATCACAACAATTCAGTCCAACAGAGCATAGCTAATATATAGATTGACAAATTTTAGCTGATGGGAGAAAAAAGGTAGGCAGAAAGTCCTATGTAATATGAGCAGTGTTATCTGCTAGTCACAAAAAACCCTTAGACAGACCATGCAAAATAACTGAGGTGCAAATTAAAAACAAGAAAACAAACAGCATACAACAAGGAGTAGGAAAGACATGGAAAAGGTGGGCTAAAGAGGTTCAGGAAGGGGAGAAGGAGATCAAGTGCACATATCAGGGCGGGGGCAGTGTTCAATACCCCAGTGAATAAACACAAATTTGCCATTCAGGGAGAGAGGTGTCAAAACTTGGAGGCAGAAAATTGTCTCCCATGGCTGCCAAATCTTTACGTGTATAGACACTGTATCCAGCAATGTTGCCTCAATCTTACTATGAATCATAACCTGAGTAATCCAATGTTTTGGCTCCAAAATACATAATTTAGGGTGCTTTCCAGGTCTTTGCAATAGTTTGTCTGGATGCCATTGTAACCTGCATGGAGAGTTGTAGTTTAGCTGTCTTAGGTCTTGAGTGCAATGATTTAGAAGCACAAAAGCTGGGTCTGGCACAATAGGAACCTGGACCAAAATAGATATAATGTAAAAAAAGCTTAAACGCAGAAACGCTGCACAATTTGGCAAGACTATGAATATGATTGTATGTGACTTGTTCTCCACACCTTCTAAAACACACAGGAGGTTAGAGGGGAAAACATTTTTGAAATGTTTGCAGGGACCAGGTACCATCTATTCATAACTTTATTGTTGGTTGCTACTGTCACTATATTTTGTGAGCATAACTTCGTTAATGCCTGCATTGCATCCCAGTCATGCTGCTTCAGGTGCACTTTGAGATCAAAGTCCCATTTAGGGGCCAAGGGGTCAGTGAGAAAGGTGGCGAGTTAAGTTGGGAAAATGAGAAAAAGGTCAGCAGCTGACTAGAGCAAACTGCCAAAATCCTATGCGGAGTAAACCATCACCATCAAAAGTGGATGCACATTATTTACTTTATTTAGATCATGAAGATCATGGGAAAGGTTAGGCATTGCAGACATGGTGAACACACAGTCAATCACAAAAATAAAATCAGTGGATATAAAAACAAAAAACAAAAAAAAAAACAAAAAAACATTGGAAATATAATTTAGAGATTATGCCCAGGGCATGCAGGTCTGATGAACATATGCCCTCAAAGAAGGTCAGGCTAGTAAGGGAAGAGTGTGCATGAATATACAGTATGTTGTGAAAAAATGAAATACTTGGAGGTAATGAAACAATTTCGAGATGGGGAGCTGATGTTGCTTGCGTAAGGTGGAAAAGGATTTGACGAAAGTGGTGCTAACTAAGCTACACAAGCATGTCATAAGTAAACGCATCCATAGGTGGAAAGAGGCCAGATCAAAGTAAGCTGGGTAAAATGAGGGGTGTTTATAAAATGATACTAAGGGGCATTGAGTCCCCTGCTGCTTTTTAATATTTTACCATCATCAATAGCTCAACAGTCAACAGTTCACCAGTCATCAGTGAGGTAGCCCTGATATGCAGAATAAAAGCCCTTTACCTCTACCAAGATGGCCACCTACCACAGAGATATCATGTGGAAGATGACATGGTAAGTCAGTCCAGGGGGGAAGGGGTTGTTATTATTCGGGGATGACCAAGTTAGGAACTGACACTAGTTACTGAGGTGCTAGAAATTAGCTTGGAAGCAATCTGTAAAGTCCATATAATAGAACTCTTCATTTGTAATTATTTTTTAGCCTTTTACCATCTGAAAGATACAAACATAACAGGAGGTGGTCTATTGCTTGCATTACAAGTGTTATCTTGCTATTATTTTAAGACCCATAAAAAATACTACAATTAGAAGTGCAGAAAACTGAAATAAAAATATTTTACAGCATATTTACTTGTAGTAAAATAGTCTGAAATATTTAAATAAATAAAGATTGTGTTAGCATCCTCCTTTCCAATTCCCACTGGCAAAACATTTTATGCTCCAAATTTTATCCATCTTTGATACATTTTATTTGTTTCTTTACTGGAAAATTAAGGGGTGTTACTCTTTCTGCAGTGCGGGAATAGTAATGCAACATTATGTTTAGCATCCGTCCGAAATAGCGCATAATGAAACCACAGGCTAAAGTTCACCTCTGTGATTCCAGTTCTCTGATATCACACTGGGGTAATTTATAACATACCGTGTAACAGATTCAAAGTGACAAGAAAGAATTATGTTCGTGAATGAGTTCTATATAAGTGGGAACCACTGAACCATAATTAACTGCTCTAGTGAATCATAATTTACACCGCTAACTCAGCCAATTCAGCTATATCATTATATCACAAATATCATACCCAATTAATTTGCTTGACCTCATGATTATTGGTTGTTTCCTTGTAATGGATGACCTGAAACATAATGCAGATAAATTTATGCAGGTTAGAAAATAATTATATGTGTTCCTTGGGATGTATGAAACAAAAAAAAAATGTTCAATGCATTGGAATAACTCAATTTTGCTCCATAACTATAGGGTTTATATGGTCTGTGTCAACACAAGACATTTATTTTAGATAGTTTGAACAACCTTTGTAACTTTAAAGTTGAATTATCTGGTTTTTTTTATTATTTTTTTTTTTTTACTTCCCAGTAGACCAAGTGCATACAGCACTTGGTTCCGTTCTGGCTGGTGGCCCCTTTGTCCTTCATAAAGCTGGCTGTATCCCCACCCCCTTTTGAAGACCACATTTTTTGCATTCCTGTAGGGGAGGTACAGCCGACAGAGTCCTGCCCCCTGTCACTATTATGAAGGAACAATGAGTGCTGATTGTTCATTTATCATAGTAAAAGATCACCTATCTTTGGCTCTGTGTAATGTATATGTCGATTCCCTGTATGTGTACAAGAATCCGCAGATTAATTACACAGAACTGCAACTCTGAGTGATCTTTTACTGTTATAAATGAACAAGCAGCACTGATCATTCATTCATAACCATATAAGATCAGTCAGAGCTGTGGCTCTGTGTGTCTCTCAGTGGCTGCTTGTAGACATACACAGCCTGGCCAATAGATAAGCTTTCTTTTTTATGAATTAAGGATCAGCTACATCAGGTCAGTGGCTTGTATACCACAGCTTGACATTGCTAATCACTCATTAACCTTAAGTATTACACACAGGGGCGGACTGACAACTCATGGGGCCCCCGGGCAATAGGGGACCATGGGGCCCCTGTGTCCTTGCTCACACTCAAACCACACCCAAAAAGCCTATGAAAAAGGTACCAGAGGCATCTCATGGGGCCCCCTTCTGACCCAGGGCCCTCGGGCAGTGCCTGAGTTCTCAAATGGTCAGTCCGCCCCTGATTACACAGTGTTGCAGTGCTGTGTGTTTTCATCGGCCAGGCTGATAGACACACAGTGCCATAGGCTATGTGTTCTTTTTTTTGAATGGCCTCCATAGCAACACCTACTGCCAAATACCAGAACTTTCAATCACAAATCGGTCCTTCACAGCTGCATTGTTGGACATTGGGGGGGAACCCGTCTGACCATGCTGCTTAGAAACTAAGAGAGGAATGTAAGTGGGACCAAGTGCTATATGCTTATTTAAAGCTAAGCTAAAGTTAAGCTGCAAGCACTAGGGCCACATAGCATAGACATTTCCTTCACATCCATTCTAATACCAATGCAGTTAAGTAGTACAGCCTGCTCAAGGATGCGCCCAACCTGTTAGGCCCCTTTCACATGGAGCAGACTCCACTCTGCCCAGCAGGGGATCTGTAAACGGATCCCCTGCTGATCAGACCAGAGCAGGATGGATGTCACATTCATGCCCACTCAGTTTATTCAGGGAGGACACGGACTGACCCCGCTAGGCTTTATAGGCGGCCAGGTGTAAACGGACTCTGCTATCCATTTACATTAAGCTACCCCCTATCCGTTCCACAAAAGTAGAAAAGGATGCAGTCCTCTTCTACTTTTTTTCCGGACTGGAACGGGCCCAGAAGTAGGTGGCTGTTATTAGACACAAGTCTGTTTACAATCACCTGTCCATAGGACTGCATGGACCTTCCAATCAGGTCCACCTGAAAAACAGACATGCAGACCTGATTGAAACAGCCATGCAAAAGGGGCCTTACTGGACAATGAAGGAGCGGCAACAAACTGATAAAACTATGTGCTCACAACTCAAATAAGTCCCCGGTCACACTGGTGTGACTTGTCATGTACCCGATTGTCTGCAATGGAAGTGGTCTTATTGGTGCTATTCTGACTCTGTTGGAGTCGCACTGATTTTGAAAGTGCTTCATGCACTACTTTTTGCAAGTTCAGGTGCGACTTGGAAAACATCTGTGTAACTTCATACACAGATGTTTTCCAAGTCGCACCTAAAGTGGGACTGACATCCGACAAATGGTGAGTGCGACTGTGTAAACCCCCTTCTGCTGTCATAGGGATAGTGAAGCCCCGGGAGGGTTCTGTAGGAGCTGGGAGAGGTGTCCATTGAAAACATAGAAGCTGGGATTCTATTTTGACAGGTGACAGTAGTGAGCGGTGAGCACAGGGCCAGAGATGCTCCTGAGTATCAGTGGAAAACCACTGACACCACACAGACAGGAATCCCACAGGTCACTTCCCAAGCTATTAGTATATCTACTATAATTCCGCTAGCAAACTTTGTGTTTTTTCTATTTTAATTACAATAAAATGTAAAAAAAACTATGGAAAAAAACCATTAAATTGTTAGCCTAAACAGATAAAATGGCATTGTTTTACTCTGCAAAAAAAACAAGATTTATTCAGCAAAAAAATATATGCAAAAAATATATGCATAGTGGACAGAAAAGAGATAAAGAATCAAAAGATAGTATACCTACAGGCTCCAGTTATGTTTTTTGTTCCTAGTATTTGTATAGACCATTATTCTAGCATTTAAAGTATATGTGAACCCTTACCTTGTAAAACAGTCCATTCCATTTAAAATAGAAATGAAAGCCAAAACATTTGTGTATACAGATTAAAAAAATTATAAAAACATTTTTCCCACTATTTTTTATAAATGATCACATACGTTCTGGGCTCAGGGGAGAAGAAAGGGCAGCAGACTGATCTTCCCAATAAAAGGCTGTGCAGGGGAGTGTGTCAGCACAAGCCTGATCATTAGATCAGCTCCCAGCACAGCCATAAAACTGACCACGCTGTGCTTTTCTGGTTAGTGTGGTCGGTTTTTAATAGGAAAGCAGAGGGACTGGCAGGAAACACCAGGGATATCACACAAAGGAAGCAATACAAAGAGAACAGGACACTTTTTTTTATACAACTACAAGATTATGAGATGTTGGGTTTACATATTCTTTTTATATAGTCTTTAAAAATGTTGCATAGACAACTGCTTGTTTTGATTATCATTTTCCTTTATTTCTCTGTGTACTTGCACTGGAGATTATACCAGCAATAATTGTTAATGTATTTATCATGCTGTAGATTGGTTGTTATTAGAGTGACACCGCTCCCCCCTCCCGGCCACAAAAGACCTATTTAAATGGGTACTTTCCACCTGTGCTCCTTCCCAGTGCTCCAACTTGTTCAGCTCCAGGAATCATAGGAGTTTCCACCTGAGCTCACTCATGGAAAATGGAGCAGGTGCATCTTGTTAAGGTGTATCCTCAAGAGAAAGTTAACTTTTTTGTGTTATGGAAAGAAATTCTGTTATTTAATACCCGATGGACAATGAATATACAGTAGGTACAACCAGAATTCAGCATTGTAAAGATCTCTCTGTTGAACTTTTCCACTGGCTTCTACTGACTGCTGTACAAAACCGTTTATTGAAAGATTCTCCACTGAAGACAGCAGTGTCTAATTCATAATTCTAATAAAGGGAAAAAATCAACAGAGGAGCTTTACAATGCAATTGTATTTCCAATTATAGCTTCAAATACAAGAAATTCACCTCTTTTTCTAATGAGAGGTCATACAAATCTACTTTACAAAACAAATCCCTCCACAGTCTCTATTCCTAAACCAGCACCAATCTAGCGATTCTAACCAGTATGTGAAAATTAATAGTATTTTTGGGGGGAGAATTGCACAAAGATTATAAAGATTGTAATTACTTATCCCTGCCCTGTACCTTATGACTGTTCATACAATCCTCGACTGCAGTGACGAGATAATTTGAAGGAGTAGGATGGAAATTTTTCTTGACCAAACTAATTCCTAGCAATGTATGTGATTTTTTTGTACGGTAAAATCCACTTGTTCCAAAATCGAATGTTAAAAGCAAACAAAATTTTGAAGTATTTTCAAATGATCATCATCAAGCTCTCAAATGTGCTGAGAAGTTTTGTATAAAAGTTCGTATGAATGCTTTTTGTTTGACAATCAAAAAAGTGTTGGCCAGGTTTAGGGTTAGCTATTGCTATCTGTGCCAAGGGGTCTATAGAGTCTAAAACTACCAGGCTGATGCGGTTCTGTAGTAGGAATGCCTCTGTTTGTGAAACCAAATACATACATCTTTATTACTTATTTCCGAATCTATTTGGATCTTGCATGCTTGCTGTAAAGATTTTGAATTTTTTTTGTTCAAAAACTGAGCTATGAAAGAGAATCAAGGTTTCCTGATTGCAACTATTATGGTTAGCACATTGCTACGTGTATGGCATATCTGGTAGGAGAAAAAAATTTTATCCACTACTTCTCATTACTGTGAGTGAAACACAGCCCAGTGTTTGGCTGCTAGGAGTCTCCCTTTCCCTTTAGAAACAGTTGTTACTGTACAAAACACAGAGCAGTCACGTTGATACTGCTGTGCTCAGTGCACTAGGGAAGCCCAGTGGAGGACTGATTTGTCCTCTGTACTGGGTTTCAGCTGTCATCTTGAGGAAGCCAGTGTATACTATTGGCACTGAAATCCTACAAGAACTGGCCTACCATTTTTGGCATGGCTGTGATAGATACACTGTATGTGTGTGTATGTATGTATATGTATATGTATGTGTATATATATATATATATATATATATATATATATATATACTGTGTATGTATATATATATATATATTTATATATATCGTGCCATGCCATGTGAGCCCAATCTTGCATAGTAGAGATAAGGAGCTACATCGTGTGCAGCCTGCATTTCTGAATAGCCCCTAGCCATGTGACAGTGAACCTGGTGATGGGGTGGTCTGGATATTGTTAAGCGGTCCTTGGCCACAGTTTAGGACCACACCCAGACACCAGGCCTAAGACCCCATCAGAAACAAGGCCTTGCCTATATTGAAGCTCCTGACCTTGCCCTAGGGTAAAAGTATGTTGCAGACTTGTTATTGTATACTGATATGCAACAGAGTGAGTGAATTGGAAGCCTGCTTGGCTGTAATGTACCCCTGTGAGTCCATCGCAAGTATAGGCCCCTAGTTATGAGTTTCACAATGCAATTCAGCAGCTAGGCAGCACTAATATGCACATTAGCAAAATGTGCAGTTTTTTGGTGTTTTACCAATATATAAATTGGCATATGTTTAGGGGTAGCAAATGTAACAATTGACACTACACATTCAGCAGTTCCAGATGAAATTGATTCTAAAGATCAATTATAAACTATTATTTCTCAAAATTGCAAATGTACCTAAGCATTGCAAATATTTAATAATTTTCTGGGATAATCCCCACCATTTACCACTGCTTGCAATATATTGGTAGTTTATGAATAAAGTATGAAAATAATATAGCATTTGCCTGAAATGCAGAAGGTTGACTATTCAGCCTCAAAAGGAATAGCTAGCTTCATTCATTCTTTATAGACATGCTTGTCTCGGGAGTATAGAAGAAACATAAAAATATGTCATTTATTTTTACAAAGCACACAGCTTTGTAAGTGCAGGATGTAACGTGTGCAATCACTATGCTCCTTTAGTCACTTCAACTTAAGAGCGTCATCTGCAGGATTCTGATTGCCACTCACCCATCTAAAAATATTCAACAGTCACAAACATAAAAACAAGTAAAATGGAGCATAAATAACAAATTATCACAATTGCTTAGCATTCTGGAGATTGTTAGTTTTATAAAACCAACACATTAAGCAGTTATCAAAAACAGCCATCAAAAGATTTTGCAGACAATTACGCAATCAAGAAGTGCTGCTTAGCTGACTAATCACAAAGAGAATTCAGAAGAACAGGCAATTGGACAAGAAGGATGTAAATAGTGAATGTGTGTTTTTTAAGATAATGGTACTGTACCAAGGATGAAGTGTGATACAGTGGGCTTCATTAAACCTTTCTTCAGCAGGGCTAGTTTCTACCTCTGTGACCAGAATGATTTCCAGCAGACTGTTCAAGATATTATTCTAATTAT